TAAGGCCTGGGGGCTGTGTTCTGACTCACTCTGGCCAGTTAGCTGGGAAGCAAGCCAAACAAAGGAACTGTTAATCTGTGCGGACTATATTGGTCCCAGCTTCCGACTTCCGACTGCCAGGGTCACCTCTGCACTCATCGTTCCTCTTAGGTAAAAATATGTCAGAGAGCATAATTCCGCCATGGAACCGGAATAGTCACCCTTTCTGGGTAGGTTAGAGTTCGGGGTGTAATTGGTAGGGAAGGTAATCGTGTCTTCCTTGATGGGGGCTTTTGATAGGCATCCTCTTCCTCCTCCACGCCTTCTTACTACCAAAATACTGCTTTAAAAAAATCTTTAGGACAAGGATGCTCTAAAACAAAGCCTCGGCCAGCCTAACGTCTATCTCCTGTCCCCTCGCCGGGCGGTCACTAGGGGGCGCGCGCAGCGTCCTCTGCGCTGTCACCCCAGCTGCAGCAAAGCTAACCAAGGTTCCGAAGTCCCAGAGCAAAGCCAGTTCACCCCTGACTCTGCTGAGCTCGCAGGGGGCAAAAAACGTCAAAGATAGTCACATTTAGGTTTCGGAATGGCTTTACTGCTACGATCTACCTGTACTATTGTAGTTTTAAGTGACTGGGTCTGAAGTGATCGCAGTACGCTGACCCTGGGTCTTTGGGATGACATTCGAATTATCCAAGGATCTCCGGATTGCATCCTGGAGTGGGAGTGATAGGTAGGCACCTTTTGAACATGCCATGGGGTTTGTTTCTGGTGGGCGCCCTTCTTTGCCGGCCACAAAATTACCACACCGCAGCCACCAGGTCTCCTTCAGCCTCAAAAAGCAGGCTTAACCCGGTACAAAACTACAATAAAACTACAATCGCTAATTATCGCCACAGGCACCCATCAACCTCGCTGCACTTCCTCTTCTCATGGGATGCCGTTGCCACCAACAAAAAAACGCACAAAGGCAACTATTGTCCCACCGAGGGGACAGATAGTCTGTAAGAAAGATGTCGCTCAGAGCCTTCTGGTGACTGTCCCCAAGTCCTTTTGACTTTACATCCGCTTGGTGTGTGTGTGTGTGTGTGTGTTCCGATTACCCCAGTTCACCCCCACCATTCATCCCTGGAGGCTCTGGGACTCTCGGTCGCCTTCTGATAACGGGTTATCCCTTAGCCACGCTGAGAGAAAGCAATCCCAGGCCTTGACCCCAGCCTCCAAGGCGGACACGGTCGGTCGCGCCCTGCCGGCCCTTTGTTCAAGCGGCAGAGGGCTAGGAGCAGCTGCACCACGGGGAGAGTCACAGTGCAGGGCGCCAGGGAATCGGTGTGGCGGTGCCGCCTTCCCTTCCCACTCTGGACCCCAGGAGCTCTTCCAGTCCTGGCATCTCTCATGCCCAGTCCCCCCTCCGCCCCCACCAGTCTCTCCACCCAGAATTCTTCTGGGATTGAACAACTGCGGTTCTTTGGGGGCCAGTCTGGCTCTCCTGCCTGGCTCTCGCTGCCGGGGCAACACCGGACACTTGAAATATCACTGGTCGGGATAAATATTAACACAAAAGCAAATGGACGTGTGCAGAGCCAGTTATCAATCAACCAGGCCGCAAGGCCACTCACAGCAAACACGGCCCAGGTTGGGTTGGGCAAGACTTTCTCAGGGCTACTTCCAGGTAGAGCACCCCCCTCCAGCTCCTAGTTTAGATCTACCTCTAGCACAAAGGAGCAAATACCCGACCGCAAGGGGGCGAAGTACCGGGTGGGTGCCGAAGAGCAGGCCATCTTCACGTAGGGCTCTGGAGGTCTCCTCACCTCTGGCCGGGCTGAGTGCCCAGCACACATCCTTGCCTGGGCTGAGGACCTGAGCCAACACCACCTTCTGGGTGCACAGTGTTAGTTGCACTCACTTGTGGGTGTCTCTTGCAGTCTTTTCCTGTGCTGCCAGCTCCCGCCGAGGGGCCAAAGCCTTCTGGAATATTTAATTGGAAGCTAATCTCCTCCTGTCTTGATAGACGCCCACGTCAGAGGCGGGGCACCCAGCTTAGCTTCCCCACCCCACTCAGGACCAGAAGCGGCGTGCGTCTGGTCACGCTGCGTTTTAATGAGCAGCAGCAAGCATTACGTCGAGGCAACATATATTGATTTTTAAAAGGTAGTTAATTTGGTGAGAATTTCCTCCAGTCTTTCACCAGCGCTTGTAATTTATACATTCTTCTGGCGCCTCCCCAAACATACTGCCACGTGCAGAGGACTCTGACCCTCCAAACACGCTGCTTGGAACGCGGGTCCCAGAGAGGACTGAAGAAACCTCTCCCCCCCCCCCCAGGAGTGAGGGAACTCGGCCAGGCCTTACAGAGGGCTTGAGAAAAGATGAGGGTTTAGTCTTAAGGGCTACAGCTAGCAAAACTGCAGTGGCTGGTGATGGGGAGCCGGCCCGAGTCTTGTGGCTGTCTAGGCAAAGCATCAGACTATCAGTCTTTAGACTCCATCACTGAGGCATGCTGGTCACCTTCCCAAGGATCAGAAGCTTCTCTTAAGAAGGGAAGAAGAAGAAGAAGAAGAAGAAGAAGAAGAAGAAGAAGAAGAGGAGGAGGAGGAGGAGGAGGAGGAGGAGGAGGAGGAGGAGGAGGAAGAAGAAGAAGAAGAAGAAGAAGAAGAAGAAGAAGAAGAAGAAGAAGAAGAAGAAGAAGCAGCAGCAGCAGCAACTAGGCTGATTGTTCTTTAGTTACTGAAAAATGGGCCTTGATTTCTAGGCAGAGTGGATGATTCTGGGTTTCTTGCATGTGCACCCTGCCCCTCATGGCAGACTTAGGTTCCAGTCTTCTCACTCCTTTATGTCCCAGAAACAAAAATGAAAGAGGTGGTGCTCCAATCCGTCTCAGGACACCCAGTGTCCTTGGGATCCGTGTTAGCTTGAGCCTCCTACTTTCCACACATTCTAGGAAAAGGCCACATGCTTGGAGCCAAGAATAACAGAGCTAGTCATTTGGACCTAGTGTACAGACACCCTTTGGTGACCTTCTGGGTCCCATGAGCACCTGCTCAGCACCCAACTCATGCCTTTAGTGTGCAGGTTCTAGAACTTAGTCTTCATTCACTGGGCTCCCCAGCACCAAGCACCAGCCCCTCCCCAACTCAGCTTTCTTATCTGGAAGTCAGGGGGCTTTGCACAGGATAGACAGGCTAGGTTTCCAGGATGAGGCACTCAGCACAGGACCTACTAGTCCCTCCTTCCAGGGTGTGACAGAAGACCATGTGGGGTGTCGCTGATGTCTGGAGTGTCTTCAAGTGGTGGGATGGGACTTTCGCGAGAGAGTACGGCCTTTTTATCCACATTTCCGTGCCCTACACAGGCTAGCCTCAGAGCCCTCCCTACCTGCCTGGAAGTCGGGAGCCCTGGCTTCAGGCGAGGGTGCTATGGAAGGTCTGAGGGAACAGTGGGAGAGCAGCAAGATCAGCTGCACCGCGGGGACTCAATGGGCCCACCAGGGGCTCCAACACCACATAAAGTCTTAGTGGAACCGTTAGGCTTAGGCATTCGGTCGGCCCTCGGCCAGGCCAGGGTCGCCTTGTCCTTTGCCTCACCTCACTCCTGGGAGTAATAACCCTAGCCTGCCTTGGGAACTTTAGAGCAAAGGACGGAGTGAGTTAGCCTGGAAATTCTGGGCGGCCAGAGGCTGAAGCAGCGAGGCACCTACCACGGAAGGCCTCTAGTGCCCAGATGCAGGGAATACTAGGGTAGCCCGCGCGGGCTAGGATCCCAGGCTAGTCCGCACCTGCCTTTCCCCGGCTACTCATTGGTAGGCACCGGGTGGGGGAGGGGGAACGGCCGCATGCTTTGATTTTAGTCGGTGAAACGGCTCAGTGCCCTCGGCTCAGAGCGGATTGACTGTCTCTCGTTCTCTAGGGACGAATTAATGGAGAACGATCAGTTAATTAACAAATCCTCATTCCAGCGTTTACCTTTCTCTTCACCAAGACTCAGACCTGGGCGCAGGGCTCAGATGAGGCTGTATGTGTCTTGAGGCCGGGTTGGGGGTGGGGGGAGACTTGGACACAGGAGTCAATCAACGCGGTAACCTCCACCCAGGTCTCATGAACACAGTCCGCCCCTAGGCTGCCCTCTTCTCGCCTCTTCAAGGGTCGCCGAGTGTGTCTGAATCCCTGGTGCGGTTCATCATCTGGGCTCAGCTGTCCACTAGGTCTCCTGGCCCACTACGGGAGTCAGGCATGTGCCTGCACTTGGCAGCTGAGACTTTCAGTGCTCAAAATCAAACAACCTGCTAGGGGTTTGGAACTGGGAGCCCGGCTTGCTGATTTGGGGAACATTTACATACTCCCACCCAAGAGCACAGAGACTTAGATGAAAAATCACGAAAACGAAAAAACGAGTTGTCAGCGGCGATCCCTGGGCTCAACGGGAAGTTCCTGGGGACCTGGTCACTGTCTGTCTCTGTCCCTCTCCTTTCCACAGCCGGTTACACGCGCAGCCCATGTGTGGTAACCTTGGCGAAGCCAGGTTTGGAATCTGTGTACACACCCTACCGAAGTGTGGCTCCCCGGACGTGCGGCGCCAATAAAATGGGGCAAGAGTGGGTGGCCGCAGCCAGCTCAGCCAAATATTGACCGGCAGCGTGAGTAGCGCCAGTCCCGCGCCGGGTATGTGCCTTGTGCAACCGGAGTAGTTTTAGGTTTTCCTCCTCCCTTCCTAAACCCGCTATGTTCCTCTGAGAACCACACAACCAGTGTTTCACCAGGTTCTAAGAGTCTCTCGGCCTGAGGCTCAAAACCCTGCAGTTCTGTCCCCGAGCACAAATGCGACCCCGAAGCCACGGTGGCCGCCTTGTTCAGTCTCCCACAGCCCAATGCACTGAGCCCCTGGAGGAGAAGGTCGGTTGCCTAAGCTGGCTCTTCCAGGTCTAGGAAAGAAAGGGGAGGCGGAGCGGAACGAAGCGCGCCCAGCCTTCTCTCATTCCCTCCCACCTTCAGTTCCTTATCTCGCCCACGCGCCCGTTTGCTCACCTGCTAAGCGGAGCGCGGACATGCGCTGGAACTCCGGCTCCTGCAGCCACTTCCACATTCTCCGGAAGGTCTCCCGGCCGGACTTGAGTTTGCTCCAGGGCTTGGGGTTTCGCAGCAGGTCCGAAAGGGTCCCCTGGGAACGGCAGAGCACCCTCTGCGCGAAGATGGCCTGTGGGATGCTGTAACGTTTGAGCTCGGTGGTGATACGCTGAGCCACCTCTTTGGTATTGATCTCTTCCATCTGCCCTGAATTACTTCCATTGCTGACCTGCGAGCCGGTCACCGAAGGGTTGGGCTCCCGGGCTGTGCCCAGGAGCTGTCCGTGGCCCTGGGCATTCAGGTGGGCATGGGGATGGTGCGGAGGAAGGCCGTTGATGGGGACCATGCCGGCCGAGGTGGGCGTGAGGTGCTGCTCTCCGTGGCGACCGAGCATGGCAGGGTGGTGGGCTTCAAAGCCATTTGGGGTAAGCATCTTGTCGGTGGGCATAGCCGCTCCGGGATGAGCATAGTGGGGAAGCCCTTGCTGGGAGTTGTGAATGCTGCCCAGACCGGAGCCAGAGAGGGGAGAGAGGCTCTGGCCCATGCCAGCCACGTCCTTGTGATAAGGGGTATAGAGGTTATTCATGGAGGCTAGCCCACGCTCATCCCGCATAAGAGTGAAACTACCACTCACGTTGCCCGCCAGGCGCTGGTGGTGGTGTGGGTGGTGGTGGTGATGGTGGTGGTGATGGTGGTGAGGAAACTTGTCGGACACAGTGGAGATGGGCGGCAGCGGCTGCAGAGGGGTTAAGGTGGTGTAGGTGGTGGGCATGCTCATACCTGGGGGAGTTTCACAGGCCATGGTCATGGTGGGGTGCAGGGGGCCAGCCAGGCTGTGCTCAGGGGCGCGGTGGTGGTGGTGGTAATCGCTGCCTCCGCTGCCGCCGTCCAGCAGGGACGCCATGCCCATGGAACGCGGGTGCGCGGGAGGCAGGTGGCTGCCGCGGTGCCCCACGGAGCTGCGCGCGTGAGGGCTGCCGCCCAGCAGGTCGGCAGGGGCGGGCACCGGCTCATGGCTCACCCCATGCAGCTCGCCGATCGTCTCCATGGTCAGCTGCGCGTTCATCGTGATGCGGGCGAGCGGGCTGCAACATCGATGTGGCCGGGCAGAGGCGGCGAGGGGCACACAGAGTCCAGTCTTCACATCGGCTGCCGGCGACTGTGGCCTTTCTTTCTCTCACTATGGATATCTGTGTCTCTCTCTCTTTCTCTGTGTGTCTCGCCTTCTCGCTTGCTCCCACCTTCCCCTCTGCTTTTTTTTTTTTTTTTAATATTAATCTCCAAAAAGGATCCGCGCTGTTGGGAGAGCGCGGTGCCCCGTAGCCTGCCCAGCCCGGCCCCCTCTCGCCCCTCTTCTTAGAATCGTGCTGCCCCCGGCTCCCTTAACGCGGCCCGTGCGCCTGCCGCGGCTGCTGTTTGCCTGCGCCGCCCGCCAGCTCGAGCCATGGCTCGGTTACTGTTGCAGACTGTGGCCGCGATTCGGTAGCCGCCGCTGCCGCCGCTGCCCGCCCTCACGCCCGCCGGGCGCAGCGCGCATGCGCGCTTCTAGACCCCGCCCCCGCGGTCCCAGAGCAAGGGCTCCGTGACGTCCCAGTACAAATGAACGGGAGTGGGGGTGGGGGGGGCGGAGAGCTTTCTCGGTGGCGCCGGACGGCCCCGGAGCGGTGCGCACGTGCACGGGACGCGCGCGGAGCGCGACCTGGAGCCGCTGCCACAGTCCCGGGAGGCTTGCTTTCCCCCTGGTCTTCCTCCTTCCCTCCCTCTCGCTTCCCAGTCCCAGACTCTGTAGCCTGCCTTCTGTCACAGTGGGTCAGCTAGATTAGAGAGTTAAAGTTCCTGGGTCTGAGTGGCTGTTTGTCTGTGCAGGTTACCCGCGAGGGGCCGGGAATTGTGCCATGGCCCTCTCCCACTCGCCCCCCCCCCCCCGGGCTTTATTCCCTGGAAGGNTGACTTGACTGCAAGGACGTCAATGCCCTTATTGTGGTAAAAAGATTACTAATCACATCTTGACACATACCCCCCCCCCGGGCTTTATTCCCTGGAAGGTCGCTGGAGCCGAGCTCATTCCCCATCCTTAAATGCCTGGGCTACCGGTCCTGAGAGGTGTATACCTTAAAGGCCTAAGTCAGCGTGGCCGCAGTTGAACTGGCACCTACGAACCTCCTGGGTACTCCTAGATCCACCTTTCCCCATCTGAGCCAAGGGCAGAAGATCATACAGTGCCTTGAGATCAGATCGAGGCCATACCTCGCTGTCCCAGACTTCAGAGGAGGTCTTCCATTATGCTCCCAATTAAGGCGGCTCTCCACTTCTGTTAACTCTGCTTGGAGGATCGTGAGGTGGACTAAAGAGAGTGCCTGGATGGGCTCCCTGGTTAACATCAGGGGTTGGTCTTTTAGTTACTCTACAGCATTCATAGAAAAGCAGCTAGAGGCTGCTGCTATTCGGGAGGAGAACCCACGCAGGCAGAGTGCACGCAGCCGCGCTGGTCTCTGCTTGGCCCGCAGGGACGCTTTCCTCTTCTCGGCGTCCCTGCAAGAAGCCTCCAGATTTGAAAATCAATTCAGCTCTGGGCATAATTGCGCCCCTGTCACAGTCACGCTCCAATCCGGAATTGAACCCGGGCCTTTAGCCTGGTGGGGACGCGTGGGGAGGCCCCCAGTGTGGGACACACACCCGGCCGCCACATGCCGCGGCTTTCTTTTATTTACAAAAGAAAGAAAGAAAAAAGTCTGTAACAAAAGGCAGAGCCTTGTCTGCTTAGGTGCTTTTATCCCTTGGAGAAAGGACAGATGTGCCCATTGTCAGGCCCTTGGCAGTTATGGCCGGGTCAGCGCCGAGCCTCAGCCCGGGGCTAGCGGTGTTCACAATAAGGATAGCCTCAGAGCCAGGCTTTCAGGGCTCAGCTACTAAACAAAGTGTCTGAGGCCTGCTATGCGCCAAACAGAGAGCCCATTGCCTATAAACTGTTTTTCAGAGGCTAGGACTGAGTCGTGGTGGTGGTGTCTGTGAGGAAAATTTGGTATATGGTGAATCCTGCGGCCGAAATCCCATCAGCTAAGGCACACAGGGGCTCATCTCTTAGCCTAGGTCCCTGCCACCAACAGCCCAAGACCACTTCAGGCCAGTCAAGGTCAGTGGGTACAGCAAGACTTCCTAGAACACTGGGCTCTGGGACTTAATTTGCTGGGTCTCATTATCAGAAAGCCCCCATCATATCCAAATAATTCCTGAAGATTCTAATTTTTGTCTATTTGGCCATGATCATTTAGGAATCTGGAGTTACCCCCACCCCCAGGAAAAGTCTTTTGGGGGGAGGATACACTGACTAAAACTAAAATTCACTAATTTATTTTTGAATCATCTCTTCAGACACATTCAAGGGTAAAATATTTTCTCTCTAGTAAATCAGCTTCAGAAGCCAAATCCACATTGCCTTATTATTTTTGAGCCCCTTTCCGGTAGTATAGAGTACTTGCCTCTCATATAAGACCAAAGGATGAATTAAAGCAAACTAGGCTCAACTGTTTCTGCCATCCCATTTTAATTCCATTGAAATGATTGCTCTGCCCTTATGACCATCTCTTCCTGAAAGACAGTTCGTTTAAAAAATTAAAGAAATTACTATACAAATTGTTCATCCTCCAGTCCATTAGAAACTTAATCTTAGAAGTCCTCCTTCATGAAAACTCCTGGCTGAGGTCCTGGAGCCCACCTGAAGAAGGGTGGGATCATGGGAGCTCAACTCTGCTCAGGTAGCAAAGGGGCTTCATCAAAAAGGTGGGTTGTTTCAGCTTTGGTTCCCAAGGGAGAAAGGGAGTTCTGGAAGGGTCTCTTGGCCTTGCTCACTTCAGTATTTGACACCGCACTCCTTACAAAGGGGTCTGAATCTCACACTGCAGGACTTGGTTCCCGAATCTCCCTCTCCCTCCTCTTCCATTTCACACCTATTACTGAAGCATCGTTTTCCTGTAGTTGCTGAATCAGTAGCGCCGTGTCTTTTGACCTCTCAGAAGCATTTCCTGTCGCTGAGTATGGTTTGGAGAAAGCATGCTTTTCTCCTCTGGCCTCGGAGAGATTGTCAAATGCTAGGAGACTGGGTTATCTCTTGTTACCTTGTTTCCTCTGCTCAGAGTGCCCAGCACAAAGCTTGGCTCCCTTAGGTGTACTCCAAGGAAAGAGAGAGCAAGAGTCTGCAGAAGAATTCCTTGAAACTGGAGCGATACATGTGTGAGGGGAAGGAAAGGGCTTCAAGCCCAAGCAACTGCAGGAGAATTAAAGGAAAAAAAAATAATGCCCAAAATTATATTAAAACATATGTGTTTTGAAAACAGGAACTAAAGGCTCAACTAGATGCTTGTTACATGTATTTTCATGTTGGAAATCAGTTTTTTTTTTTCTACTGAGGACTGAACCTAGGGCCTTGAGCTGGACAAAGACTATCACTGATGTTTATTTTGTAAATGTCTTATGTGCCCGGGAGAGGTAGGTAAATGAAATTTGTCCTCTGCTAAATAGACTTCAGTTTGCAGGAGACACCCTCAGACTTGGGGAAAATGCCACACAAGATTCTCTAAGAAGAGTCCATGCTATGCAGTCAATGGCTTACTTTTCTTGGAGAGTAGTGGAGATATAACATATGGACCATTCCAAAGCCATGTTTCTAGGCTCTCCGGACCATCAAGTGCTCGGTTTCTGTTTGGTGTCTGGCAGTCCTGAGGTTCAGCAAATATTCCTATCCCCTGCTTCGGGGTGAGAGACCCTTGGTTACAGCTTCTGAAGCCTCCAGCATTTCTGGAGCTTGCGTGGCTAGCATGAAACTCCTGCGGAGGGACCCGTGGGCAGCATCTGGTTATAGCAGAACCCTTGATAAATGGGGTGAAGGATTTGATTACAGACACTTCCAGCAGGGTTCTACTGTCTTCCTCTAGTGTCTTTTCATCTCTGGAGAAAATTTATTCAGAAAATTGCTGTTTGTGCTTCGAGTAGACGAGAATTTTAGAATAAGTGGTCTGGTGCTGTATTATTGAAAAAAATTAAAACAACAAATTAATTTCCAGTTCCATGCGATGTGACACACCCTCCCAAATCCCGCCCCCGCTCCACAGGGGAAAAATAGTGACTTCTCATTGGGGGTGGAGGACGTGGGGACCAATGATTCTAGCGTCTCTCTTTAAACTTTGTTCCTGTATTTATTGTCTATATGGTTTTTGTTCATCTATCCGGCTAACCTCCCTCCTCTTTTTCCTCCCTAAATATTGTTTTGCGCATGAAAATGATTTTAAACTCAGCATTTTTTTTTGTGCCACCCGTTCTTTCATCTCCTGTCCCCTCATAGTCCCAAAGAAGATGCCTGAGGAAGGGCGGTCAGCTCCCTCTAACCTCAGCTTACATGGAGTTCCAGGAATTGCTTGGAGCCGCCTCGGTGGCGGTCGGAGAACTGACCACGCGAGAGCATCTCTGGTTACTTCCTGGGCAAGGAAGAAAACCACCTGCTCTCCTGGGACCCTGGGTGAACTATCAACGGATTCTTCTGGGTTGAAACTCTTTCTGGGGGTCGCCTACTTTGGTAAAGGCTCTGCACGTCTTCAAGCCAAGAACGCTGAAGAGGTGTCACACTGGCCCTGGGACTGAGGGAGAAGCTTCTAACTCCTGGGTGACAGGTGGCAGGGCCCAGCGCTGGACAAGGTTAGTCTCACTCCCTGGAAATTGGCCTTCTGTAGTCTGATTTTCAGTGGGTTTTCTCTTTTGCTTAGAATTCTATATTAATGGAGGAGGAACCCTGACCAAGATTGTGAGGGAGCCGGTGAGGAGACGACAGAACTTTTCGGATTTGGAGCAGCGGTGAACACTACTTTTCCAGCCCTCGTCTTTTGGAAGTCCGCGACGGATTAGCAGTGGCCGTCTGATGGTGGAGAGTGTCAAAGCTGGGAACTGAAAAGGCAGGGGTGAGAGTGAGGACCCTCCTGTTGACGTCATTCAAAGCGACTCAAAGTAAGGAAAACTCAGAGGGGTGGACCAAGCGCCAATTGTATTAGCAACGCTCTCTATAACAACATTCTTCTCCGACGTTGGAGATAATTACTAAAGAGCAGAAGTCACCAGCCACCACCCAGCCGGGAGCCTCAGACACAGCGCAGGGCTTGGAGCAGCCACCCTACCCCAAGCCCGGCCCGACACACTTCCACTTGGCGAACTCCACCGTCGCCCAGCAACGCCGCCGACGCAGGCCCAGAACAGCTGCACTTGGGAAGGAGGAAAACTCTTTAAACAAATCATTTTGGTGTCTAATCAATTAGTGTTTGCGCAGTCAAGTACCATAGATTTAACAGAATAATCGTTACTGCCCTTGTCTTTATTTGACCCGCAGACACCTAGAAGATTTAAAAATAAAACGCAGGTGTTCTGAGCGCCTGCCCTGTTGCCTGCACCTCCCTCCTCAGCTTGCTCCGCTGGGTTTGGCTTTTGGTTTTACCAAGACCGGGGGTGGGGGTGGGGTGGGGCGGAGGGACTCACATTTTTCTTTGTCCTTCACTTTCCTATCACCCTCCCCCATTTCCGACTTGGCCCTTCACAAATCAGTCACCTTATCGGTGTGTCCCCATCCTCCATCTCTGACCCAGAGACTCTGTGCCCTGGCCCTTTTGCCTGATGGTGTAGTATTACGGAGTGGACCACAGTCAGTCCTCTGGTCCACCCCAGTCTCCAGACCTCGGCCCTCACGCGCCTTTCAGAACCTGTCCAAGACACAAGGTGTCTCGTGCTTGACCTTCAGTTTCTATGAAGTTGGGGAAAAACCTTGGCCAGGGCGTGGGTCTTGCATGCCTTAGGGGTCTTGCTCCACAGATCTCTCTCTCTCTCTCTCTCTCTCTCTCTCTCTCTCTCTCTCTCTCTCTCTCTCTCTCTCTCTCTCTCTCTCTCTCTCTCTCTCTCTCTCTCTCTCTCTCTCTCCTCTCTCCTTCTCCTAAAGGGAAAAAGGAAAAGTAGAAAAGCTTTGGTCCACATCCCATTACCCCATCACTACCCGACTGGTAAGTAGGGTATGCCAGCCGGTGGGACTGAAAAAGAGCCAAGCCAGAGGATTGTTAAGGTATAGGGTACTGCCTATCAGAGGCAGGCTTCTCTAGGCCGGGGCCATCCCAAGGTCTATGAGTTTGTCTGGAAGGTGTGTGTGTGTGTGTGTGTGTGTGTGTGTGTGTGTGTGTGTGGTGTGTATAGCTGGTTAGATACACTAATGTGTTTCCCTACGCCTGAGATGAGGTCCCAGACTACTGAAGGATGTCAGTAGGGCCTGTGGGAATATGTCCATGCAGGTGAGAAACTTTGGAAGACCCAGGCTGCCCAAATACTTGCAACCACAGTGGAGCCCATGCACCTAGGTTGCTGGTTTTGTTAAATGCAAGGCTGCAACTCTACAAGCAGGGCATAGGTGGGAGGTGAAACTGCAGGTGAGTCTACCTTCAGGCCACCTTGCCAGCCCCTCCAGTTCCAGAGGCCCCAAACACTCCAGAGTGTTACCACCTGGTTGGAAATGCCTGGCGCCCCAGGTTCCAACATCACTAGAGGAACCTTCTTTTCAAAAATAAATGATTAGAATGTGCTTGACTAATGCCCGTATTTTCCTGCTTAACATACATTAATCCAAGGAACAAAAAAATCAATATTGCTAACAACATTGCAAACAAATTCTAGACCATCTCACACAGAAACCTCAGATTTTTAACCACCCTATCCCCCTGAATTTGTTAATCTCTGGGGATACCAATAGGTCCTGACTGCTGTGGAAATCAATCCTAACTTTTCAATACTGGTCTCTAAAATCCCATCCTCCCCCAGTCTTTTATCATGGGTATATATGGGGAGAGGCACTGAAGGCACTCTATAGCCTAGCCACCTCTCTTCTGGAGCTATTCCAGAACCTCAAGTTCTCTTAATCCTGTCTCATTGGCCACCAGGTGAATGCCTAAGGTCACTGGACAGTATTCTGGGTTTTCTTTTTCTTTTCTCTCCTGGACAAAACCCCATAGGTAGCAGATTCCAGCATCTTCCCAGAGCGGGGATCCCACACGTTTTTGTGCCTGTCCTAACTATCTGAACCTAACGTTAGCTTGGTGGTTCTTGTTGGGAGTTTGTTGTAATTATTATTTTTAAAAAACTGGTGTTTTCCACCAGGAGGAAACAAACTAGAGGGGCTGGCTAATGAAGGAACTTAGGTTTGCAAAAACACCGTAAATAAGTTATTATTGTATTTCAAGGGAAAAAAATAGCTTTCTTAAATCATCCCCGCAATATAAATGGCAGACTTACAGTATGGTCCTGGTAAGTCTAAATTTTTAAAGGAGCAATATTCAAAGAGACATAGATGTCTGTATTAATTATTTATTCGCCGGTGCCTTCCTTCGTTTCTGACTTATTATTAATTAGGCGCCTCTAGTCTTTCACAGAGCGCTCCACTGAGCCGGTTGCAGCTTTAAATATGAATTAAAAGCAAATCCAAGCTACTGTAATGCGAAAATTATTCCGTGTCTTGCATGGCAGAGATGAATAGCTGCGTGGATCAATACCGTGAAACTCGGCTCCCAACGACAAGGTTATTGATAGTTCGTAGTAATGACATTAATGATGGAAAAAGGGGAATAACCGCCCACCCCCCCTTGGAAACTTTTTAGCCACTGACCCCCCCCCCCGCAATAAAAATGGGAAGGGGGCAGGAATCGGTCTTAAGTGTAAGAAGAAAATTATTTATGAAACCCGGATAAACGACTTCGGAACCTAGATGCATTTGAACTTAAAGCTCTTGGCTTCTGGCGGCCCTGGCTCCAGCTGGGGAGACCGCGAAAACCCCAAGCAGTGGAGAGCTGGGGAGCTAGGTGCGCTGCAGCAGCCTTAGCCTCCGGTGTGCAGCCCCTCGGCTCGGTTCCCCGCTGGGAGAGCCAGGTGGAGGCGCCGAAGACAGAAGCTTCTGGAAGTGGGTGGAAGGGGGATTGGCGTGAGGCGGGTTCCAGCTGTCCCGGAGGCTACTCCAGGCCGAACCCCTGCGGTCGGGACTTTGGCCTGGGTTTTACCTCTGGTTAGCTTGGCACCAGTCCCCGAAGAGAGGATCAAAAGCTGCGGCCTCGCCGGGGCCCATGGCCCTCTGAACGAGGTTGTCGCGCCCGGCTCGCCCCTGCCAGAGTGACGGGAAAAATGAGACCCCGCAGGAAGCTCAGGCCTCGCACCCTCCTCTCCCTGCTATCCGCCTGGTTAACGGGGCTTGGCCTGCGTCTGCTCTATGATGCTTGGCCTGCAGAGCCGGCGGGCTCGGGTCTTCACCCACATCGGGTCCTCTGTGGTCACCGAGGCTGCCAGTCCCAGCATCGGTCCCTCTCACTGTCCCCTAGCCGACGCCACAGCAAGAGAGGACGCGTGCAGCGGGGACGGGAAAGGTTACGTCTTGACCCGGCGGGGCCGCGGAAAAGGTCAGCGCCCGAGGGACCGTAGCAGGCCCGTGGTCCCCTCCCCCTTTGCTGGGCGCTCGGCCACCTCGTCCCCTCCTCCAGCACGAAGACCCGCCTCTGGGGGCGGAGGTCATGGTGACCCTGACAGCTACCCGAAGAACTGTGCAGAGGCTGTGGGTCGCGGCTGGCAGGCAGGCCTGGCCGCGGTTCTGGAGCGTGTCCTGACAAGTGTTTTAGGTTAGAGTGGGCTGTTGGAACGTTTACTGTGGCCCCCGAAAGAGACTAGAGGACGCCCAGTGCTGGGAGAGTGGGGGCCATCATATTCGCCCCCGAAAATATGGGTGATTTTGTATTTTTGCCTATTCAGTCTCCCTCCCTCTATTTTCTCCCTTTCCTTTCCAACACCATCATTCTTTCGTCCTTCTCATCCCTTAAACTTCTCCCATTTTCTTCCTGGTAAGCATCCCCCACCCCCGTCCTTCCCCCACTTTTCTTCCCTCCCACCCTAGTCTTATTTGGTGCCTCTAGCTTTCTTCACTACCCCTCTTCTGGGGTCTACCACAGTCCTCACCTCTAGACTTTCATAGGAAAGGCGCCAGTTCCATTTAGCACCAACATCAAGGAATCTTGTTTTTGAAGAAGGAAGGGCAGGTGAGCAAAGGGATCACCTGCTCTTTGGTGGTTCCTTGCTGTAAGCTTCTCTGCTAGGTTTTAGCTGCTGCCAAGGTTCATCTAGCTGGAGCCTGGACTTGTCAGGAAGAGTTGCGGTGCCTTGCCGACCTCCCGACACTAGCAAGACTTCTGTGTGCTGCTTGCTTTTCTTTTACTTTATTTTATTAGATAAAGGAGGATATCAAAATTAGTCGCAGAGGTTATGACCACTAAAATCAACAGTTGAACCTTAGCTCTATTTCAGAACATAAGAGTGGCTAAGTTGAAACCGGTTTCCCGATGGTTAAAACAACCCCGAACATCTTGCCACCGAGAAAAGTCCACAGTCAGGTTCGTGTTTCATAGAAACACCCTCCACACACACATTAAACGCACGGGCCTCATTCCCACAAGGTCCACAAGCAAAGAGTGTTTTCAGAAAGGAAACACAACAGACTGCAAAAGAAAAAAAACACACACTTGATTCTGGAAAAAAAAATCAATATCCAAATTAGATTTATTGTCTGCTTATGCGATTAAAAATGACAAAGTGTTGGCTTTTATTTTCATAAAAAGACAGAAGGCTGAACAAAATAATTTACTATTGAGTTCTTGAGTTTCATTTGCCTGGCAAAACCCTGAGGGGGCTGATAAGGCAGTTGGGAAGTGTAGTGCCCCAGTCAGGAGTCCTCCGAGGAGAGGCAAGAGCACTTTTTAACCCCGCCCCCAGGTGATTGCTGCAGTTCCTAGAAGACATTTCTCAATCTCAGATCCAAATCAATTGTGTCCCACTGAAAAACTCTCAGTTCTGTCTTGCTCCAAAGAAATGCTGCTGGGTGACCCCAACATGACCTCAAACCCAGGTCTCTAGTTTTGTTTCCCAAGGTAACTTCTGCATTCAGGATGACCTACTTTGCCTTTTTAGGACTCCACAGCTCCAGAACTCAGCCAGCCACAGGTAGAGGAACAACTGTTTGAAGTCTGCCTCTTCCCCCTAGGTCTCTGTGTGTGATTGTTTGTTTGTTTGTCTTGGCTTTCAGAGCTGCTGGAACTGGCAAAGTGTATGTTTGTTTGCTTGCTTGCTTTCCACACCAGCCTAGGCTAGTAGAGATAAGTGTAGTGGCTGGGGGTACCCGTGAAGAATATACTGCATTGAACATCTCATAATTACATCAACAGCCGGGTTCTGTTCGTTTTTAAGTGTTTTAAAAGAAAAACAAAAGAGCCCACAGTGTGTATTTCCCTCTACACTCCCCAAATTCTCCAGCTGAGTGTCGGAATCCTCGGGAGTCCCTTCGCTTTCAGCCCCTTGCTCTGCGTGCTGTCTGTGGTGCCCACTCCTACATTTTCACTGCCTTGTTCGGGAACAACAGGGCCTCCTGACAGTGGCTTCACACACTTTTCACAATATCCCGGGGCCAGGTCCCTTAGCACCCTTAAATGCACCTTCAGGTTTTGCATCAGAGCTCTTTGGAGGTATGGCACGAGCTGGGGCTTTTAGAAAACCTTTAATGGCTTCTTTACATTGTTGCTGTTCTCGAAATCAGCCTGGACGGCTTAGCTCCTGATACTTGTAGAAATGAATGCCTCTTCCTCGGTCCCTCTAGGTGTCAGGGCTCAAGGAGAAGGGTATGGATCGGATTCCTTGTTCCTTGGAAATAGGACAGGCTCTGTGGAGGGATCCAATTGTGACTTTCCCCTACGTGGAGGCAGTGAGGAGGTCCCTCACTAGGCTATGTAGGAGATGGGCAGGCAACCTTTGGCAGGTCAAGTCTTCAGGTCTCCTGATTCAGAGTGGCATCAGTTCCTGGAGATCTGGTAGGCATATCCCAAATCCAGCTTCCCGAAGCACTCATCTGGCCTTCCCCACTGCCCTCAAGGCCCTCTTCTCAGGCCTCATTTTGGGACCAGCCTCTCTCTAGCAACCTGGGGGGGGGGCGGTGAGTTTCAGGGTCAAAGGTCAGGCAGAGGTTCCTTCTTTACCCGAGTTGGGCATTGTAGCCATGGCTCCTGTCATGGAGGAGGGTGCCCACGGCCAACCAGACTCATCGCAGATCGTTCAGTCCACGCTAGCCTCTCTGTAATGTTGTAGGATCTTGAAAGAGTGGGAGGAGGATGAAATTTAAAAAAATAATATTCTTAGGTAAAAATCAAGAACCTTTTGTTGAGGGGGCATGGTTTAATGCTTCTTTAAGTATTTCTGTTGTGGGCTAGCTTCGCACAAAAGCCAGAGGAAAAATCTTCCATTGTCTTATTTTCTTCCCGGGCTGGCTAGAGCTGGAAAGAACTTACCAACGAATTCCCAGCCTTGCAAGTAGCCCTGTCTGTTCCAAAGGGACTGACCTTTTGCCGGAATGGGGGCAAAGCCAGCAGAGTAAAAAGCAGGTTTCTATGCATGCCCACGTGGATCCATGTCACCCACACACGTCCATCAATTCCTGCAGGTCAGAGCTGGATTTACGCGTTTCCAGCCTCAGCTCTGAACTCAGAGCCATCAGGAGTTAGAATTCTCCCTCCCGACGAAAGCCATGGTCAATAGAATTCTGGGTATCAAATGAGCAATAATTTGCTGTGGCTACATGCTGGATAATGAAAGATGTTAGTGGGATCAATAAAAAATGAAAACACTTTTACTTACATCTTGAGTTACAGTTTTAGGAGAGGGAGAGAAGCAACCAACCCAACGCTGGTTCCGAGTCTCCTGTCGGTCTCCCCAGAGCGCTAGGCTTCTCCACCACCCGACTGGCCCTTCCTGACCCCCGGGGCTTCTACTTCTCCTGTGCTGACAGGAGAGTAGACTATTTGCATTAAATTAACTCCTCAGGAACGAGTAATAACTGCCAGGCTTTTCTTCTCCCCCAAAGGCAGATATAAAATTAAAATAGTTTCCCACCAGAACTAAAGGTCCCCTAATTGGTTGTAGTTTACGGAAAATGTATGCAAGTGTCTCGCAGTGAATCCGTCCTTTAACATCCTCGGAGTGTACACTTGATCAAGATGGCTTTGGGCAGGCCTCTTGTTTTCAGTTAGATGCACAAGGGCAAGCCAATGTATTCAATTCCTTTGGCTTCGTTTGCGTTGGGAGTAAAACCTAGAGATTTCAGCTTTAAACCTGCTTCCCCCATAGATATTAATTGCTCATATCTTTTTCATAGTTTCGCTTGCTATGTCCAATTCACTTTTAATTTATGTTGAATTTATTTGCTCCAACCTGTCTGCTTTTCTCGACGTTCAATTTCAAACAGACGTTTACTTTTACTGTTTTGGATTCCTAAGAATCGGTTAGGAAAAGAACAGAGAAACAGTCTACGTTTTTTCAAAGCTATCAAAACAAACAAACAAACAAAAAACCAAGAAAAATATTCCGTGCATCCTGCATAAAGCAGGGATCATTAAGCTCCCTGCCCGCTCTCAGCACTGAAGCAATATAAGAAGAATATTTGAAAATGTGTTTGGCTATGTCTGCAGGTTTAAATAACCTATGTCCCCCCTTTCAGTACTTAAAACAAAATAACACAAATTTAGCCACTGCTGAAGTGAACGAGGTGATTTTTTGCCACAACATTCTGTGTCAAGGTCACTGGCTGGGTTATCTTTAGAAGGCTTGGGTTAGATTCCGAGGAAAAACCGAGTAACCTGGGCGGTGTAGAAACGTCAACTAGAAGTGAGGAAGAATAGACAGATTCTAGTTGGGGGCCTGCTCCAAGGAGTGTGTACCTTGCCCACTCCGTTTGTACAAAACGCACAGAGCAGGTGCACGGGGCCGCGGCGCGCTGCTCGGGAACAGAACCGCGCGCAAAGCTCAGCAGCGTGCTCGCGTACCCGCCACCCGCGTTTACACCCCGCTCCGAGGCCAGCTCTTGGTTCTCATTTGCTGCTTTAAACTCGTGGGGGAGGACCTGTTACCCACGGTGGCTGGCAGACAGTCTGGGAGGGGGGCGCCCCCTTTCCGTTTCCCGGGCGTGACGCTGGCTGTGCCCTCCGCCCTCGGCTCCCACCCTATTTGCGTGGCCACGAGCTCAGCAAAGGACCCGCGTGGCACACGCTCGAGCACCTGGCTGCGCTGACTCCCCGTTCTTAGTCCACTGCGGCGTGGACCTACGAGGCTGGCTTACCGCGGAGGGCGAGTCTGTGCGCATTAGCGGATTTCATGGCAGGTTGCTTCTGACACGGGACTAGGTTTCAGCTTTGACTCCTAGGAGAGAGGGAAACCAGAGTCAATTTGCATAATTTCAAATGAGAAGCGAAGAAACGAGGAGCCCCATTTTAAGCCCCCAATCCCACCCCTCACCTGTAAATCACCCCCCCCCCCGGTGCAGAACCGGAAAAAGTAACCAGTATTCGTCGCAGGTACCTTTCTTTGCGTTCATTTTAAAGACTGGGACGCAGCGGCCGTCACTTTCTCCAAAGCCGCTCTCAGTCCTGAGGATTCCTGCAAGGTCGCGGTGATTAGGATAGCGGGCAAGAAAGCCCACTGGCTCCCCATCGGAACCCAGGGTCTGAATCCCACTCAGAACCCCAAATCCCCTGCACTCCTTCGGCTTCAGCTTTGAGTCCGGGTAAACATCAATTCCCTCCCTCGTGCGCTGTCTCTCTGGCTCACACGCGTTTGTAGTCATAAACAAACAGCTAATTCAGGAACCGAAGAGCGAGGAAGAAACCGGGAGAAAAGAGGTGACCCAGAACCCCAGCGCTGGTCTCGGCTCGCCCAGCGTCGAGCCGCTCCTTTTGCTCAGGCCAGCAGCGCTTTTGGGGACGCAACTTGCATTTGAATAGCTGCCTGCGCTCGTTACGGACCCGAGAAAGCTCCAAAAGGGAATCACTATGCAAATTGTCCCAGTTACAATCGAAAGGTTCGATCTCCCGGAGCTGCCTGACGGAAGTTGATGTCAGCTATCTGTGCATTAGTCTTACGTTACCGCCTTCCCCGGCCTGCTCGCCACCCCCGCTCGCGCCTGTCGGGAGGATTTTTTTTTTTTTTGCTTATGTGTATATTTTCTCTAGTAATTAAAAAAAAAAAAAGCACTAAAAAGAAAAAGAGACTGAAGGTGGTTGCCTAGCTGGCTCAGGCCTGAGAGTCCCAAGGGCACCCCAGGGAGGTGTGGCGACTGGGCCCTTTTCTTTCCTTTCCTTTCCTTTCCCCACCTCCTTTTTTTTCCTCTGCAGGTGTTAATAGTGTGTCTGAAATCAAACGTTTAGAAACACACACACACACACTCGCACTTGCACACACACACACACACACACACACACATTTAAAGAGCTTTGAGGGACCAGGAGGTGGAGGGGTGGTGGTGGCTGGGCTGCACGTCTGCCTCCGCCAGTCTGCTTTATCCTACAATGCAGGCTGCAGATCAATACCCGCTCACTGTAATCCCAGTAATTGTAGGGCTCGCAGCTTTTATTTTAAAGAAATAGGACACTAGGTCGCAGGCGGGCGGTGGAGGCTCTGGGGTTGGATTGTGGTGCCTCCAGGAGTCTTTGGGGCTATCTATCTATCTATCTATCTATCTATCTATCTATCTATCTATCTATCTACCTACCTACCTACCTACCTACCTCTGTCAAACCAGGAAATTTCGAGAGCTCTCTACAATAGGGTGGAGCCCTACCCGGGCCTTGCCAGGCCGTGAACCCCACCCGGGACTTGCCAGTCCTTCGTGGTTTCTGCATGGGATTGGCAAATCTGGAGGTAGGTTCTCAGGATCAGTCTTTCTGCAGACTGTCCGGGCGGAGTCAGGCTGGCCTGAGCCTCTTGGCCCTGGAACTGAGCCTGGGGTGCACACGTGCCAGATCTTGTCTACAGAGGACCTAGAACGCCAGACTTTGGCCTAGAAATGGAGGGCCAGAGGCCCAACCAGTATTGGACTGCGTGGAGCTTGGCAGGCAGACAGGGGCGCTAGGACCCGGTTAAGCGGCCCCTGAGGCCGCGGCCTCTTCCTAGAGCAGGGGCTAGCCAACGACTACAGCCGCAGAGATCCACACTGAGCCCTCAGGCCCCGCCGGCCACCGGCTGCCTTGGCCGCCCACCCCCGGCAGGCAGGCAGAGCCCGAGCAAGGCCGCCCCGTCCTGAGCCCCTCCACTGGCCGGTGCAGCTTCTGGCGCCCCCGAAAATGACCATCTGTCATTCAATTAAGGTTTCAGGGCAGCTGATGGGGGAGCGAGGGTCAGCGACCCCAGGACAAAACGGCCTGCTGCCTCGGATAGGAGAAGTTCAAATGTTAAACGCAGAACATTGTGTCCTGTCCTGGTCCCGGCCCCCACCGGGCCGCAGGTCCGGCCTGTGGACTGCAGCGAGGTGAAGGGCAGCGGTCATTAGACTTAGATTTCAGCTCTGGGCTGGGGCCCCTTCTGTTGGGCTATTTCGACCAGAGAACCTTTAACCCTTTCCCGCCAGCCCTCCCCCTAGGGTAGGACAGATTGTGGGGAGAGAGAGACAGATGTAGTCCTATAAAGGGATCTGCTCACTAATCTGTAGGAAGTGCAAACGACATACCTAGGAGAGAGATTAATAATCACGAAAGCAGACTAACTCAAGGGTCTCCCCAAGTCTTACTATTTTACTTATTTATTAGAGTTTTCATTTTAGAGAAGGGATATATCCATGAAATGATCGTGATCCAGTCAGACCAGTGTGTGTGTGTGTGTATGTGTGTGTGTAAAAAATGCAAACTTCCTTTTGAATTGTGTTTACCCATACCTGGATGAGTGGAGATTAGCTCAGCTAGCCAGACAGCTCCTTCTGGTGAAGGGGTCTCCTGTGCAATTACTCTCCTTTATACTTGGAAACATGTCAGTTGACTTTCTTGTTCTAGACTTCCCCATAATTAAATAAGATAAAGAGGGGCTGAAGAACTAGCTCAGCACTTACAAACACTTGCTGCTCTTAGAGGATACCAAGTCAGGTGGCTCACAACTGCTAGAACCGCAGCTCCAGGGCATCTGATGTCCCCTGCTGGCTTCCTTGGACACCTACACTCACATGCACATATACAGACCGGCAAATAAAGAAAAATAAATAATTTCCGTTTGCTAAAGATGCGATAAAGAATTCTTGCTATTCTTCATAAGAATAATACCCATTAAGCATCCAGAAGCCATGGGCATTTAGACATTCACACTGGTTTCTCCACACAGGACTAGGGAGAAGCAGTCACTTACCTAACAGATTCAATGGAAGAGCCAATTACTCTTCTTAGTTACTAACCACGAAGCCTAAAAAACAGCTCTGTTATCAAGGTACCATTGCAAGGTGTAGAAATACCTAGGTCTTCCGCAGCCTGGATAACAGTAGAGGACACCGAGGACTCCAGCCTCTAGTGTCCCACTGTCCGCATGAAATCTAGCCTCAACTTTTTGGAAATAACTATCAAGTAATCAATTAGTCAATCAGGCATTCAGCATGGAAGTACCTTAGCAAATTTTTCACCAGGTAATGAATAATGCATGGCACTCCAGTCTATCGACTGTGGTAAATGATTTAAGGCGAGGTGCTGCAACAAGTACCTTTAAATAAAATCAAAATAAAAAGTTTCCCACAATCATAATCAAGTGTTCAGTCATCTTCCCATTGACCCACACAGCATCTTTCTTCAGGGACATTTGGAGTTATTTCTTTCCCCCCTTACAAACAGACCAGAACAAATTGATGAATTGAGCTTTCACTATGCTAATTTAGATATTATAAATATTTAATTAACATCTCTAATAGCCAGACATAGAGGGCCTCCGATCTACTTTTACAGTGTTAGTGATCTAAAGTAAATGCTTTGCCCATTAATAGCCTGATGCCACCTTAGCAGCCTCCTTGCTGAAAAGGCTCTGTTTAGCCCAAAAGGAGAGGGGTACTAAGCACTCTTTACCAGGCAGGGGCTTCTACCTTGTCTAGTTTTTATATGCAGCTGTGCTAAGAATAGGGAAGATTGTTCCATTTTTCTAGGCAAGCCAGTCATTTGAGGCTGCACTAGGATGTACATTTTAGTATATGTGTTTTAATTTTATTTATTTATTTATTCATATTTATATACATGAGTTTATTGTTTTTAACCTGTAGATACATATATCTGTACCATACATGAGCATGGTGCCCATGGAGGTCAAAAGAGGGTATTGTCCAATCCCATGGAATTGGATTTATGGATGCTTGTAAGCCATCGTGCAGGTGCTGGGAAAGGCCCCTTGTCATCTATAAGATCAGGAAGTGCTCTAAGCACCAAGCCATATCTCCAGGGCCTTGTATACATTTTAGTAAGGTACATCCTACCGTAGATTACAGATCATGTGTGATAAACTTCCCAGCATGGACTAGGCTAGTCTTTCTGGTGGGGATTGGTATTAAAAAGAAATCTGAAGCCCAAAGGATCCAAGTTGCGGTCCAATGGCACTCACTTGCAGGAGGTCTCTTGGGTAAGTAAGTCTCTTTCCTAAGTGCCTTAAATTTCCCCTTTAAAATAGAGATGGTTAGGTCTAGACAGCTTTGCTGCTGCTGATCTTCCAGAGGACTGGAATTCAGTTCCCAGCATCTATTCTGGCCAGCTCGCAATGACCAGGAACTCCAGCTCCAGGGAGTCCCACTCTCTTCTGCCTGCCAGCAGCACTTTACAGTTCCAAATGGCGACTGGCTCATAAGTCTCTTGTTTCTGGGATGTGCAGCAGGAGAAACTAGGAGGCTGAAACTGACAGGCAGCATAAAACCAGGTACTGGAATGTAGGCCTTCGAAAGCTGCCAGTCACTGAAATATCCCTATACAACAGCCTGTGTGGTTTAGGAAGTTTCCAGAAGTGGCATTGTATTTCCTAGGTAACAGGAATCAGGTCAAAACTGAGGGCTCAAGAATCCAGAAACTCCCTGGGAAGATCTGACTCAGGCAGGAAAACCTGGAGATGGCAAGATGCATGAAAAGAAAGAAACCTCAGGAGTGTTCAGAACACTGGGGAGTCACCCCACATAGAGCATCTGTCAAAGAATTTGATACAAAACAGAATTGACTTATTGGATGTTGGAAAATAGCAGTCCAGAATTATTCTTTTTGTTTGCACAAAATAAGCATGTGCAATTGTAATGTATGCATTTGTGCTGACACAGCAGATATTTGTTTAGATGGGGGAAATATCCCAGTAAAGTCACACACTTTCGATTTTTTGGTACAAACTGCATTTCTCGTTTTGTTTCTTTTAACAGGAGGTTTTCCGAGAGAAAGGCCAGTGGGGAAGCGATGGAAGACTGGCTGGTGCAGAGAGTAATCAGGAGCTCTGAGTTGAAGACAGAGTCTGGTTCTGGACAGCAGAAATGTCTTCTGTTCTCTTTGAAGGCGGAGTCGCCTTAGCCTAGGCTTGTACTGAATTTGCTATGTAGACAAGGATGATCTTGAACTCCTGATTCTCCTGTTCTACCTCCAGATCACTGGGATTATAGCCATGTGTCACTAGGCCCAGTTTTATGTCCTATGGGAGATCTAACACAGGGTCTCATGCATGATAGGGTAACCACTCTGCCAACTAAGTTACATACCTAGCCCCTATTCACACCTTTTAATATTTAAAACCTTTATCAGTTAATGGGATTTAAAAAAAATCTCCATGTTAAAAAGATTTATTTTATTTTGTTATCTGTGTTTGTCTGTGTGTATGTATGTGTACCACATGTGTGTAGTATGCACGGAGGCCGGAAGATGGTGTTGAATCTCCTAGAACTAGAGTCAGGTGGTTGTGAATGTCCATGCGGGTGATGGGAACTGAACCCAGATCCTCTGCAAGAGTAGCAAGTGCTCTTACCCATTAAGCCTTCTGTGGTGGTTTGAAAGAAAATGGCTATTGGGAGGTGTAGCTTTGTTGGAGTAGGTACAGCCTTGTTGGAGGAAGTGTGTCACTGTGAAGACAGGCTTTGAGGTCTTGCTTAAGCGTCCTTCAGTGTCACAGTCTCCTTCCCGCTGACCGCAAGATGTAGGACTCTCAGGTACTACTCCAGCACCATGTCTGCCTGCACTCTGCCATGCTCCCTGTCACGATGGTAATAAACTGTAAACAAGCCACCCCAAGTAAATGTTTTCTTTATATGTGCTTCCGTGGCCATAGTCTCTTCACAGCAATAGAAACCCTAACTAAGACACCATCTTTGCAATCCCTAGGTCCCCATTTTAAAGAAGTTGACCGTAGAGGAGTGATAGTCTAAGTTTGATTAAGCAGGCTAAGTTATAGTTATAGTTATATATTTATAGTTATAGTGAAAACTATAACTCTGGCTGACCTGGAACTCATCATTAACTGTTTTTGAATTCACAGAGATCTGCTGGCTCTTGTTCTCACTCTTTGATGAACTTGATTTACCTGTTTAGTATGGACAATGTGGTCCTGAGAGTGTGGACTGGCAATATCCCAGCGAAACACAAAGCACTCCCAAGAGCCTTGAAGAAGGTTGGGAATGTGCTAGAAACTCCTGAGTGTTATTTCCCAGTGAACCCACCCCCAGGGGCATGCCTGTGAGGGAGTTTTTAGACTCGGTTAGCTGAGGTGGGAAAGTCCATGCTAACTGTGAGTCCTGACGGAATACAGAGAAAGTGAGCTGAGTTCCAGCTCTCATCTCACCTGCTTCCAGATGACAGACGCAGTGTGAGCAGCTCTTGCCACCACCAAAGGTAGCCTTGAACCACGAGCTGGGATGACTTCTCCTTCCCGTAAGTTGCTTTGGTCAGCAGTGAGACCAGTGAGTAATACACAAGGCATATTGGTTGGTTCCCTTTCTCTAGTATATCATGTACAGGAATATATGATTTCTTACTACCTATCTGAACTATAATTTTGTCCTTTGACGACTTCACACATATATATGATGTACCAAGTTAATAATACAAAATTATAAAATATTACTACAATTGCTTTTCTTTCTTTTTCTTTTTTTTTTTTTTACCCCACTCCCAATCCTGCCAGTTCTCCTTCTTCCCTGTAAACCTCTTTCCTGTATGTATGAGGTGGTTTGTGTGTGTGTGTGCCCCACTGAGTTTTAACAGTGGCGTCAGTTTGAAACTATTTATTGGAGTCTGGTGTGCTCAGCAGCGGGCACACAATTGAATGCTATGCCTCCCTCTCTCCCAGAATCTGTTGGCTGCCAAGATGAAAATTGCGAAAATTTTATTCTATGTCACTTTCCCCCAATTGGTTTCTCATTAGGAATGGTTTTGGATTTTCTCATGTTTTTTAAAATGAGGTTGATTTACTATTGATCTTTGTGAGCTTCCAAATACCTCACTAGGTCCTCAGTGTCATCATGCCTGAACATTTGCATTGAGGGGCACATGTATACTCTTAAATAAGAGACTGCTTTTGTCCTTGCTGCCATAGTTGGAGTCGTGAGAGATACCTGCATCTGTAAGCTACACTGTCAACAAAGTTACTTCATGATCCTAAAAAGACACAAAAGTGTCAGTTTGGTTTTCTTTCTTTCTTTTTTACACAGGAATCCCAGTTTCCCCTTCCCACTGCCTCCACCTTTTCCTCACCCCAGTTCCATCTGCTCCTCAGAGAGGGTAAGGCTCCCACGAGGAGTCAAGAAATTTTGTCAGGAGGCCTCGGTCCTACCTCAACCTGGGGATGTGCTGACTCAGAGATTGTGTTGGGTGATGCTCTTCAGATCCAACCATAGCAAAATATCTGCTTCCCCAGGCTGACAAGCAACTCTCCGAGGCTGGCCTGCATCCAGGGCAGTTTAAGGCGGTGGAGACTTGATCTTTCACTGAAAGAATGAGACAAGGTCAGTAGAAAGGTCACCCTGAATGACCTTGGCCAAAAGGCACACCAGTAGGGTTTCCTCTTGCACTCGAGTCTGATTCACTTTCCTCATCTCTCCTGGAACATATGGCATCATTTTCTTTCTGTTGTGATTGGTGTAATTCATCTCAGATTTGATATAAGCAGTAAAATTCCTAAATATGTGGAAAAAATGCCCATGCACCTCTTCCTCTTGTTGCTATTTCTGTTCCAGAGTGCTTGGCCATCACGACTGATGTGTCCTGAGTGGCGCCAGTCACATTTCCCATCGATGGCATCTCCTGGTCTCCCTCGATTGAAAACAAAGTTGTGCTGCTCAAGAGAAAGGATTGAATTACATGAAAACAGCGACTTTATCCCTGGAAATAGCCGTGCCTTTCTCTTTGGGTTCTTGAAACTCAAAACTCCAGCCAGAATTATAGTCTAGAAATAGAATAAAAACAGAATGAACTATATAAAGCAATAGACAACTTGGTTAGAGGCAGGTATCTAGTTGTTTAAGTTAGAAACACAAATTTAACACATGTCACTATTTAAATTTATGTTACGAAATTGATCATTTTCAGGACAAGAGTAAAGTGCCAGGGACTTCTGTGGGCGGTGACACGCCTCTCCTGGAAACCTGGATTCTCAGGGGGACTGGATGAGGATGGGGTTTGGTAGGCAGAGCACTGAGCTTCTCCCTGCTCACACACATTTTGGGTATTAATTAGTCTTGATAGGGAACTCTTTTCTGGAAGCCATAGAAGCCATTGTGCAGTGGCATTTTGTTGAATTCAAGCAAGCACAGCAGTTAGTATTTTCAGCACCTGTATGTAACCTAAATCTCTATTATTATTATTTTTTGAAAATTTGTGATTTTTATTTAACTCTTTTTTTCTATTTTTTAAAAAAAATTTGTTGAGCTCTACATTTTTTTCTGCTCCCCTCCCTGCCTCTCCCCTCCCCTTCAGCCCTCTCCCAAGGTCCCCATGCTCCCAATTTACTCAGGAGATCTTGTCTATTTCTACTTCCCATGTAGATTAGATCTAAGTATGTCTCTCTTAGGGTTCTTATTGTTGTCTAGGTTCTCTGGGATTGTAATTTGTTGGCTGGTTTTCTTTGCTTTATGTTTAAAAACCACTCATGAGTGAGTACATGTGATAATTGTCTCTCTGGGTCTGGGTTACCTCACTCACAATGATATTTTCTAGCTCCATCCATTTGCCTGCAAAATTCAAGATGTAAAAATTTGTGATTGTTAGCCAATAAATAAATAAATACAATGAAGAAAAAAATACTCTTTTAAAAGTTGCATTTTGTGCTGGGGATGTTGGTAGAGTGCTTGCCTAGCATGCACAGAACCCGGGGACTCAGTGTCCAGCATGGTATGGTGGCCCATGATGTAATACCTGCACTTGGGAAGCAAAAGCAGGATGATCAAGAGTTCAAGGTCATCCTCAGCTACAAACTCATCTGGAGTTCAAGTTTAGCCTGAGCTACATGAGACTCTGTCTTTCTCCCTACTCACAACATTACCTTTAGCATTCAAGCAAAAATATCCCATCTAATTAATTTTGCTAAAGGAAGATACTATATTTAAATGGATTTGTTTATTGTTTTAAGGGAATTTTGTTGATGGGCTCTAATATGCCAATTTGATCATATTGTTACAGGAGAGAAAGGTTTATACTTGGAAAACAAGGGGAATATGCTTTTGTGAGGAGAGACTGCTGTTTATTGCTCACTAAGCACAGTTTAACAAGGATGCCATGGGTTGGTGGATGTCTTTCACTGTGTTTGTGGGGATACAGGCTCATTTTAGCTTAGGGCTGGTTGTTTGCATGATACATTCACAACAGAAATTCATAAACATGGGTATGAGGAGATGTCTCTGATAGTAAAAGTATTTGCTGCACAAGCACCCAAGGACCTGAGTTCAAATCCCAAGATCCTACATTAAAAATACCAGGCTTGGCTGCACATGACTGTAACCTCAACACTGTGGGGATACAGAGACAGGAAGATTGCTGGGACTTTCTGAAGACCCCAATTTAAGGGAATAAGGCAGACAGTGATAAACAGGACTGTAGGTGCACATCAGCCCTTACACCTGCATACCCATAAGCACACGTGCCACACACACACATGCATGCACATAATATCACACACAATACCACACCCACCACATACACACCTACACTCAACCAAATACACACACATATGCACATACACATACATGCTACATAATAACACACACACACAAAAACACACCATACCACACCTACACCCACCACATAGACACACTATAGACTACTAAAGTATATAGTATATGTATAGTATACATACCTATACATTACTCCAAACTCACATATACCATACCACATCCATACCCAGTAAACACACCCGCCCACAGAATTAAAAAAAAATCTTGCTGTGTTTTAAATATGAATTCCCTTATATTTTTGTTTCAAACTTAGGGAGAACTGACATCTTCGTTGAATCTTCAGTGTATGAACGTGGTGTTTCTGTTTTCCAAATCTGCGACCTCTTTCTCGTGTCAACACCAATTCTCAGCCCACAGACCCTGTACAAGTTTAAGCTTATGTATTCATACTTTATTTTCTTTGCAAATGGTTGCAAATGGCCTTCTGTTTTAAGTTCCAGTTACCATACACGTGTTGGCTATGACTTTATACACACGTGGTTGGCTTTTTGTGCTGATCCTCTATTGTGGATAGTTTGTATTGATTGTCAGCTTGGCAGAATCTAGAATTAGAAGAGCACCTGGGCATGGCTGTGGGAATTATCTTCTTCGGGTTATGTGAAGTGGAAAGACCGGCCCATTGTGGGTGGTAGCATTCCCTTGACAAGGATCCTGAATTGTGTAAGTGGAGAAAGGTCCTTGAGAAGCAGCATGCATTTGTTCCTCTTTTCTTCTTGGCTGCCTATTCCAGGTGACCGTGTAACTGTCTGCTTCAAGTTCCCACCTCAATTTCCCTGCCCCGATGGGCTGTATCCTAAACTGTGAATTAAAACAAATCTTCCCTTCTTAAGTTGCTCCTGCCAGTGTATTTTTATGTCAGTCACAGGAGAAGAAACGAAGTCATGTTTTAAGAGATTTCCACTCTACAAAATGAAAGGCTTGTGTCAAACAGACCTTGAGGGCCCCCCTCTGCACCTCTGAGTCTTTAGATATCCAGTATGGAATTTGGAGGCTTGCAGTTAGAAACAAGGTGGGGAATTTGAGCTTATTGGCCTTCCTTTGTTGTGGGAAAAACACTTGTTCATTTCCCAGCCACCCAGACTCCTGAAATAACCACCCAGAAACCATATTATTTAAAATACTGTTTGACCAATAGCTTAAGCATATTTTTGGCTAACTCATATCCTAAACTAATCCATCTCCATTAATCTGTGTATTGCCACATGGCTGTGGCTTACTGGGTAAAGTTCTGCCTGATGTCTGTCTTCAGTGGGGGCTACATGGCTTCTCTCTGACTATGGCTTCTCACTGACTTTGGCTTTTTTCTCCCAGCATTCAGTTTAGTTCCCCCTCCCCCCGCCTATCTTTATTCTTCCCTATCACAGGCTCAAGACAGTTTCTTTATTAACCAACGGCATTCATAGCATACAGAGGGGAATCCCATTTCATTCCCCAACATAGTATTTAATTTACTGGTGTAAAAATGTTGTAGATAGTTTTTTTTGTGCATTGTAGCACGGATTTTCCTGATCTAAACACTTTATATTCCTGTGTTTATTGTCTATTGTTCTTGTAGCATTTGGCGATTGAATAAAAAACCAGTAAAAGCTGTCTTTACATCTTAGCTGAGCCGTATTGTTTTAGTTTTGCTTTTTTTTTTTTCCTTCACCACTTGGACTGGAGTAAAAACAATTTATTAGAAACACCCATGTAGGGCTGGAGAGATGGCTCAGTGGTTAAGAGCATTGCCTGCTCTTCCAAAGGTCCTGAGTTCAATTCCCAGCAACCACATGGTGGCTCACAACCATCTGTAAAGAGGTCTGGCGCCCTCTTCTGGCCTTCAGGCACACACACAGACAGAATATTGTATACATAATAATAAATAAATATTTTAAAAAAAACACCCATGTACCTGTGACCTGGAACCAAATTGATCAGTTAATTCCCCTATTCCCCAAAGCACATTCTCATGATGAACATCTAAGATATCCCCTAGGATTTCTTTTCTGTAGACTGGAAATAAAATGCTAACAAGTAACCCTTGTCATCTTTATGGTGTGTTAGCATGCCTTCAGCATGGAGATTACCTGGTAGAGGTGACTGGGCTGTGCCAGGTGGGGAAGTTCTCATCCGTAGGAGTCATTGCCCACCACTCGGTCTGTTTGAATTAATTTCTGATGCGGTCCTTACAAACAAGCACTCCAGGGTCTCACTTAGAATTTGGCAAAAATAAACACAGTCAAGTGACCATCAGTTGTGATAACTCAAATCCTTGTAGTTTTCAGCAAGTGGAGGGATTCTGGGGAGCTTACAGGGCTCCCATCGATAGGGAAGAGACTGAATCGTCCGATGTTATCAATTTTCGTCATGTATATAATACTACAATGTAACACAAATTAAATGCTTGGGAAATACTCGTTGAATAAGAGAATGAGTGCTGGTCATCCTTATTTATATCTCAGAAATTTATCTTACACCTCATTTGTTAGCAAGAAGATCAAAGAATCTCATGAAATATCAGCTCCATCCTGCTTTCAGGAGGGATGGACTTGATCTTAAACTGACTCAGCTGAAACCATCCTGGCTGGCATGTAGAATGCAGAGAACATGCTGTTTTGACTCAAAGACTAGGCTACAGGAAATAGTATAATGGGTGATGAGTTGAATCTGTGCCGCTTTCATTAAAAATAATAGAAGCCACAGTAGCAATCCCAATTTTATTCTGCAATGCTCACTCTATATACCAGATTATAAAGTCTGTTTATCTATCTATCTATCTATCTATCTATCTATCTATCTATCTATCTATCTATCATCTATCGCTTTGTTATGTATCTATTTACTATATCTATCTTCATATCAATTATCTATTTATCTATCTAATATATCTATCATCGACCATTACTGTAGATAATTTTTATATCTATCTACATATTATCTACCTATATCTAGCTACATACTATCTGTCAACTGTCATCTTTCTCCCTCTGCTTTAGGGTGACTAACTTGAATCATTTTCTTGATATTGTCCTAGTTAGCACCAAAATTTCACTATCTCATGAATGGTTTCCTATAATCCCCAGGCCAAGGGAAAGTGATTTGTGAATTATGTATAAGAGCCTGTTTTTTTAATTCTAAGAAAACTTTTGCAAAGATAGCAGGTGTCACGACAACAAATACTTTGTCTACTTAGAGTTTACCTATCTATGCATACCTGTCTATGCTCATATGCATGTATGTGTGGAGGCCAGATGCCAACTTTCATACAGCAGGCTTTTCTGGACCACCAGCCCCCAAAATCACGACTCAGAGACTTCTTAGTTACTATGCTTGGCCTTAGTTTAAGTTTGTCCCACTAGCTCTTATAACTTATTTTAATCTTCATCCACATCTTGCCTCAGGGCTTTTTACCTTTCTTCCATTCCATAGGTCCTACTTCCCTGCTTCCTCTGTGTCTGTCTGACTGGTGGCTGCCTAACCGGCTAGCTCCAGGCATCTCCTTCTCTTTTTCCCTTGTTCTCTTTATCAAGTCTAGACTCTTCTTGCTACTTATGGTTATGCTGTGGAATATTACTTGAACTGTGTGAAAGGATGTCACATTTGTTTATGCTGCCTTTGTTAACAATGTAAAGGTGTGTTGCATTTGCTTCACCTTGCCTGCCTAATAAAAAGCTGAATGGCCAATAGCATTCAAGGCAGGAGAGGGATAGGTGGGACTGGTGGGCAGGGCGAGTAACTAGGAGGAGAGCTAGAGAAGGAGAGAAGAGAATGAGGGAGAAAGACAGGGACATGGCCAGGGCCAGAAGCCAGGTAGCCAGCTAGCCATGGAGACATCATGAAAGTCAGATATACAGAAAGAAAGGTAAACATCTCTGAGGCAAAATGTAGATGAAGAGAAACAGATTAAGTTATGAGAGCTAACAAGAAACAAGTATAAGATAAGGCCAAACATTCATAACTAATATTGTTTCCATACCATCATGATTCGGGAGCTGGTTGGTGGCCCTAAAACAAAATTCTGCTACAGGAGACCATGATTTTGAAAGAGAGAAAG